TTACACCATAAGGTAAGTGAAGTAATATACCCTTAAAAGATTCAGTCATTAAATGGTCACAGAATCTTGAAATGTCTGTATGAGTATGGAGTAGGGAGGCTATTTTTGAAATAATTCAGGTATCAGTAAGGGTTGAATCCAAGTTTTCTGGATTATAGCAGATCCAGGAGTATGAGAGTAAAACACATCTGCTCTATAAAATGGGAGGTAGAGAAAAGGCTGCATAGAAAATAAGTCAAGTGGCACATTCAGAAAGGGTGAAATGAAAAAGAGAACATTTCATTTGCCTTTCTCATCCTCTCGGGCCTAGTAACATGTTCAAGCTATCCAATCTGTGACCCTGATCCAAAACACAATAAGGTCTTTCTTTAAAATGAAGCTTTTATACATAGTAATACACATATGTGCAAGTACCTCTGAAGGCCAAAGAAGTAATTCCAAATTTTGGCACCTTAGAGATTCTATAGATTATTCTTGGTTTCAAATAGTGATTGAATCTGAGGTAACAGCATGTGGAGGCTTGGCCTTAGCAGGGGGGCTGAGGAATTAGGTTAAGAATAAAAGCTTCACATTCTGAAAATAATAGTGGCAACTAAAAACACAACACTCCCAGATTGAGGGAAATAAATTTGAGCAAGGGTCATGATTAGAGGGAAACCTCTAGAATTCTAATAATCCCAGGTTTCTCAAATTTGTACAACTGGTAGCAGTCTCAGGGTCATCTGTCATCACATCAAAGTTTGACAGAGAATGATGACCCACAGGAGCAGCCTTGCTGTGCTTGAGGATTGTTCAACACTTGAAATGAGCTTCGGATCAGTTCTTGGCTGAAGTCCACCTGGGCCCCTTTCACGAAGGCCAAACTATCAGAGTCCACCACCACTCTTGCCCCACCCTGCTCAAATACCCTGAAAAGAAAGGAGGAAGGCATTAATGAATATCACAAACACCAAAAACATGACACCTTCTGAGCCCATAGGTGCACATCCTGTTTTCTGAAGTACAGAGCTAGAATTCCTTATTACCTCTAACAGGTGCTGATTTTCTATGAGGCAAAAAGATTCAATGGAATTAATACTGGGAAATGTTTAGGGACTTATATGGTC